GTGTATCGTGGCCACTTGGGCAAAATCGCAGGGAAAAAGTGGATGCTGCGTCGACGAGAGATCGACGCTCAACGCGCTCTGGATCATGCGGCTGCAATCACATTGCAGCGAGCCTACCGTGGTCGTCTTGGCCGCATCGCAGCCGAAGACCAGCGTGTGGAGCTGGCCGAGTTCATTTCACAGATCCGAGCAGAGGAGGCGATTGCCGAAGAGGAGGAGTACTGGGAGAGCCACAGAATGGAGCGCTTAGCTCGGGAGGTCGCAGCTTTCGTCAAGAAGGAGGCCTGAGAGTCTCAGGCTGAGACTGATAAACTACAAGTGAACAAGAGCACGTCGTCAATTGAATTGCAGAGTATGGCGATTCAGTTTTTATCTGTCTACCCTGCGGGAGCGAGGTAGGAAACAAAAAACAGTGGAAGCATTAGAAGTGTATACGCGCAGGTTTCAAACCACGGGCGCTGCTCCTCGATAGCACGGTTACACAAACAGAGGGCACAAGTAGTCAGAGTAAGAACCTCCTTTTACTTACCTGCAAACAATAAGTGGTATAAGATCAAATCTACCCGACCACTACACCTCAGAACGATATTAAGTCAAGAATCCTATGTTATCAGGCTTCTATAGATATATAAGGCCATTTATTATCATATAAGCTTCCCATGATAATATTCTGCTAAAAGAAAAAAAATTGATCAATAATATTTTTATGCTGTTGTCCAATAAGTTATTGGTAATAGTGAAATATTGCTTTAAGTCTAAACATAACACGACCAAACTACTCCCATGTCAAGTGCCAGTGACAGTGATGACGAACAAGTTCAGTGGAGAAGGTTTTGTTGTTATCACTTCTGCTACAAAGCACCCTTTTCTGGAAAACAGTTCTAGTTTTTGGATTATATACTTTATGTGGATATATACGTTGTGGTTTGCACGCACTGCGACAAAACGAAGCTGTAATTCGTCGTTTAGCAAATCGTAAAAACCAACTCAACGTTGATTTATCTGCCTTACTCTTCGAGTTAATGCTGAATAGCCATCTATCGAAGAGTTAAACTTGTGTTGTGGCTACTACTGTTGAATGTCTGGAGTAAAATGGATAAGCCAACAGCAAAACCTATAAGTTTCAACCCCACGAAAGCGGGGATACAGTACTGCATTATAAATTACAGAACGGTTTAATGCGCATCAAAACCGGTTGCTGGAACACGACCTACGGGTATGAAGTTCAGTCATGTGTTTAATCGTACAAACTCAGTAAGTTTCCAGCACTCAATTACCATATTTGGTATATTTAATTATACTGGGGATACCTTTAGGTATGGACAGCCCTCAAGGGGTTAACTCCACGATACTGCGTAACTCGCTCGATGTTATCTCGCTCAACATTCAGCCGACATCAAATGTTAGCTGAACGTTGAGCAAAAGTAGCAAGTTTAAAACATATTTTGGCATCGGATTGTCCGTATCTGATAGTTAAGGGCTACCGGTCTTTGGTCGCGAACTGCGCAACCACGTATTTCTCTTTGTGTGCGTGTAGAAGTCTAACCTGCCTGGGCTCGCGAGGTCTTAACGTTTGCCGTGCATCTGGCGGAAGTATTTCGTGGGCCGAAGCAGAAGAGTGACAACTCTGTCGCTTTGAAAGGTTAATTCATCATAAGTAACGTCAATTAAAATACTATAAACTAACCCGAAAGGCAGCTTAAACCCAGATTATGAAATCTCCAAGACGAAGTACCAAGATAACAAATAGTTTTTTTTTGCGGAATCCATTCAAAGATGGCATTTTTTTCTGTCCGTTTGACCCCGTTTTATCCTTACAGGTTGTATCGCACCGCGGGCCTTTCAAGCCTGTGAAGAAAGCATTAACACTCAAAGATCAGCACGCGGCTTACTTAAATCACGGTCTACTTGTACTCGCCGCATGATCACCGCACTAGCAAAATGGTTGGAAGGGGAAATTCTATACCCAATCAAACGGGCTTATAATAATCTGATTCGTTCTATTACCACCCGGGGTTGATCCCTCGAATCAAGGTTGGGACTTTTGCTGCATGTCAAAATTTGTTGGACTGTCTGTCTTCAAAGAGCGTGGCTTATTGAAGTCGTTTTTCTCTTTTATATAGTTTGTATCCAGAACATATTGTTGTCCATCGGTCCGCTAGTATCTTGGTGGTGCCTGCAGAATAAGGATTCTACGCGTACTAGCAGATAATGTTGTACGAAGTAAATTCAAACTACGCACGTGACTGAATCTCTGATATCTGTTTTGAGTATCTTTCGTTGCGGAAAAAGAAGTGTATTCCCAGCTAAGTCGAAGACGATCTAGTTACTGTGATGCAAGTAATCCCAGTTATATCTGGGATTTAATCTGGGGAGTGCAGCGGTCAACAGGGATTACCGAGATATGCAATCGCTTCGCTACAGCGTTCACTTATCCTCTGAAATTTATACTACATATAACTTCGCAAAAAAAAAAAAAAAAAAACAGCGAGATGAAGCATGAGCATCAGTGCATCGGGCGATGATTAGCGTTTGTGTGAATATTTCAGAGAATAATGCATGATTAACCACGCAAATACCCACGTTGGGTTTGTTATTCCGTAGGCTTTCCAACGAACCTTTCCAAGCGAGAATTGACCAATTTTTGGTGCAAATCGAACTATTGGCACGGAACTCTTGATTGCACGAAATCCTGGATAGTTTACGTCAGCAACATGAAATTTTACCATAGTTTATCAAAATAAACAACACGCTTCTCGGTGAGGTTGCTACCCGTCAACGGATCTCGTTGCCATTCTTCAATTCGCAAGCACCAACGCATTTGTCTTTCTTTCCTCTCCCCGGAATGAAGTTTATAAGTCTCCTCTCCGTTGTGACCACCGTCGTCGCTACCGCCAGCGCCGGAAGCTCCGTGAATCTTCGGAAACCTGAGTATGACCCCAAGTCACTTAGTAGCAGTGGCAGCGATGACTGCCCCCAGAAATGTTATGTGAAGAAGTACCATGGTGTTGTGCACGATCAAAAGTGTTTAGTGCGCCTAGTTGGGTGTGTGGACGATCCCAAACTCACAGTGTCCAGGCTCATCGACATTTTCGCAGAGGCCGATAGCTTTGAGGCCACATATAACATGGATGATAGTGGCAGCTACAAATACGTTAACCTGGAAAATGTGCTACTGCCCGAGGGCATGATCATTAACGGACATCCGGTCGCAATGGAGGAGAACTTCCAAGACTACCTGAAGAAGGCTTTGCCCTGAGCCATATCTTAGATATCTGCAAGAAGAGACCTGTAGATCGAGAACACACAGGAGGGAAAGAATGCTACTACGTAATAAAAATGAAAGAATTGAGCCTAACAATCTCCACATTGCTTTGCTGGTAAGCTTTTGAACTGTAGAGTTTCCTATAGATCATTTACAATGAAATCTCGTAGAAATAGCGCCGGGATTTGATGTAAGGAAGTCTGGGAGTATACAGTTGCTTTTTCTCCAAGAATCGAACAGTAAGTGTTGTACGTGGCGCCCAAGTACTCCGATTCAAACGATCCATGATGTGCTGGATGGCCAAGCGCATGATAGATCGTTCGAATCGAAGAGCCAATTTGTATTGTTGGAGTGTAGCAATCGCTATAGCCACGCTGCATATCAACACAATTCAAATATGTTCTTTAAGATCGGATCGTACCACTCAAGCCGTTCACGAGTTCTATTGGTGATGAGCTGGCCGTATATCGGACAGAGTAAACTTACTGGTGAGCGACGACTAAACGAGCAGCAATAATTTCATAGATAGAAATAATATTCTCATCAAGGGTGACGAACAGGGGACCCAGATATCGGAAACAAGAATTGTTGTCGTAGCTCTCTGGATGTTATGTCCAGAGTCCTACACTGTAACTGATGCGAGACCACATCCGCGTTTAAACGGACTAACACGCTCGATCTCATGTCTGCTGGCAACGGACCAGCAGGCTTCCTTCAGAAGGACCTCTAGGTAACGGATAGTAGCTCTTCTACTTCATTCTCTTTAATCTGAATTCAACCAGCCTTCGTTTCGCCTACAACTACACACTTCGACCTTCAGCGACCTCAATTGGAAGACTCAATTCGCGTTTCTAGACATATTACGTGACATTCACGGGGTTGTAACGACGCTGTAATCCATTGATTATGAATACTTAGTCTCAACACGAAATGGATACATCCCCGTTCTCAAGTTGTTGGCTTGTTATATATACTAACCTTTGGATATTGATATTATCCGCGAAGGTTCACCCATTTGACGAAGACAAAAACTATGTACCTGTTGGGGGGAATTGCTAAGGATCAATCACCCTGACCGGAGCGCCCGAGCAGAAAAGCCCGAGCACGTGGTATTAGTGCCCAAGCAAAGATCCAAACAAACTTCAATGCTTAAAACGAATCAATCGATTTTTATCATGTGAATTAATCATAATGACAATAAAAAAAAACGAAAAGATAACGAAGCAATCGTAAGTACATACTTCCTCCGTCCGAAAATATAAGACCAGCCCCATACATTAAGTTGTCCGAGAATATAAGTCTAAGTTCGGCTCGTCCCACCCGAACTTAGCATCTTTATTGGTTCTGGTATATTCTATAACTACAAGTAAGAGACCACGGGAGCAGATCGCAGCTATCTGTCAACGTAGCTTTCGAAAGATGGGGGATGGCGTACTTGTTACTTCCATCAACGTCGATAGAAGCCACTAACACGGACTGTAGGGAAACGAAAACGCTATCCAGAGCGCTGAAATGAAGCTGCTTGAATGCTTCGTCGACATTGTTGACCAGATCTTCGATAGTTTTAGCCTTCTTCCTGTGCTGGAGCGACTGTATTGAGTTGAAAATGCCAAGGTCGAGAGTATTAAAGTCCGGTGAATTAGCAGGCTGTGGCTGAAGGCACATACCCCCGAGAGAAAGTAGTCGTGCAGAGTAGACTTAGGTATACGGAGAGATTCAGCTAAAGTACGAATGTTGGTTTTGTCTTCGAGCGGAGTAAGTGCGATGGTGTGGTTGAGGTCGAGGCGGAACTCCTCCGTTAGTCTCGATTTGCGGCCACTTCTTCCCTTCCTGCCGCTATCGTAGTTGATAGGCTTGCCTTCACGAAGATCCTGTTGACTCGCTGCCACAACCGCGTGATCTGGCGCTCACTACAGCCAAAACGGACTGCACAGACCACGATCGATCTCTGCTTTGGGCGGCTGCAGATCCACGCTCAAGCGCAGTAGAGCTGCTACGACTTCAGCACGCTCTTTTGACGCAAGGTTCCTCCTTTTACTGCGCACACCGTCGGAGTTGGGGCTTATCTGGGCTTTTTACGAAGGAAAAAAAAGAAGCAAAAATGAGATATGAGGTCGTATTTTGGCTAACACAGCTCGTTAACCACTCATTCAAACTGAGCGCGAAAATCACCAAATGAACCGCTGTGTTTTGTTTCTATTTTTGACCAGTCAGGCACGAATAAATTTCACTTTTGACGTTAAAGCGATTTTTTTCTAATCCATGCCTTATATTACCGGTCGGAGGAAGTATTTTACATAAATGTATTGGTACATGTATGTAGGGCTTTTGATCTAGTTGTCGAGTGGGTTCAGCCGAACAAATCCTCATGAATGGGGAGGCAAGACAATGGACTCGAACGCAGCAGTGTCTTCACTCGTGAGAAGGTCGGTAAACCAGAAAGGTGAGAAGCATTTGCATTTTGCGTCGCAAGACTCTGTTCGATGAGCTCAAACCCGGATGGCTCCCGACGCGTGCTATTTGCTTCGTACCCAGCCCGATGGGGACGTGTACGATTCTGCTGGCGTCGCCTCAATCGAATAGCTGGATAATCAATTCTTGAACGGAATGTTGAGCTAGCCGTTGATAGCCACCAATGTTGATCAAAGTGCTCTGGCGTTAACTTATGTGCGTCATTTGACTCGATAATATCCATTAACTTATGTAGGCAGGGGCGACCGTGGATCTTTTGAATGGTGCCGCCCCAATCAATTCTAGTAGCGTTTTTTTTTTTACAAGAATTGAATGAGCCTTCTTCCAAAGTTCGTGAGTCTCTTGGATGGCCTATACGCTGATAATCTTTACCAGATTCGAATATTTTTTTGTCTCAGCAAAAAGGTGTCGAGATGTTGCAAGTGTCGTGAGCAGCCTTGTGCTTGTTCATCGTCGCTTGCCTGATCCACCAAGGTAATATATTCTGAAAAACCCGCAATAAATCCCTCGGGAGTAATCCAACCAGCGCTTCGTTGTTGCGTGCGTTCCTTCTACAGTAGAGGTGTCACGGCAGCAGAAATGACTATAGTTGCTCGTCCAATAGCTCACAAACTTCTCTCTGTATGGTCACCAATGCATCTCTTGGTAGTTGCACATATCGGGGTTCAAACGGTGTAGCTCGGCGCACCCTTCATCAAATTTGAGACGAAAACTAGCAGCAACTGTTGAATCAAAATTTGCCATGATAATGTCTACAGCCAAATTGTTCTGGGTCGCCCTAATTTTCCTTTTTGGTTTGAGCAAGAACATTGCATCAGATATGCCAGAGACACAGCAACTAGTCGAAGCTGGAGAACACAGTTCCTGTAGTATTTGTACAAGGTAGGTCGCGGTCCGTGACAATCACTCGAGGTAGCGGGAATGCCATTTTGCTCCATTAGGGTCTTGAGCGGCACGAAGGCCCACTCAAAATCTGGTTCAGCCTCGCCAGGCAGCCAAACGTGTGCAAACGGCAGAATCCGGTCACGATAATGGCGTTCAAAAGAGGCATGTAAAACCGATTGGTCTTATACGTGCAGTCAATCACCAGACCTGCCATGAAATTCCGGGCCATTGCAGTTGTTTTGGGGTGGGCCCAAACCAAGTAGCGAAGGCGATGGTCTCAGGGTCCGTCTCCAAAGAATGTAGAAATCCTTTACTGTCAACCTTTTAAAAACAATGCCTCGTTGCTTGTCTTCGTTGCCAATAATTCTGATCTGGCAGCACTCTTTGCGTTAGATATGTCGTTTGGGATAACAAAAGAGTTGGGGTCGTTTAAAAGCATTGCAGCCTGAATTTGCGACGTGGCTAATCGGCTTAGGTTTGGAGATGGATGAGATCAGATGTAGACATGCCTGCAACCTTGGACTATCTTGCCGCCCGCTGACGATGGGTAACATTTACGCGAATGTTGTCAGAAGCCGCATGGTTGTGCATCTTGCTCCCGTAATTGGTGTGGAGTATTCTCCACGGTTGCACTACAGCGTCAATACGGATCCGCATTGGTCAACCAGATCGTTTAGTCCTCCGCAAAGGCCACTTTCCATCGGCGCCTGCTATTTTTCGAGTTTTCTTGAGCCTTCCCATTTGATCACACCCAAATAATCTGTACCGAACATCACCTTTGTCATTTCGTGTTAGCTTCAGCCTTGTCACGTTGTAGTTGTGTCCTTTAGTCCAGCTATGAATGGCTGTTGCGTTGGGAGCTCTGTTTCAGGCGGCGCCTCCAGATTAAACAGCGTGGGCAAATTGAGAGACATGGCCTGTTGCTGATAGCACAATGAACAAGAGAAGCTGGGCACACAAAATGTAATGTAAAAGCATCTTCGACATTTCATCGAAAGATATTTATAACTGTCCTCCCAAAGATTTTATTAATAATTGTATGTATGAATTTCGTAAATTAAGTATGGTTTTGGTGCATTAAGAAAGGTTTTGGTGCGCTAAGAAAGTTTTTAAAGCAAATAAGAGTCTTTATTGTAAATGTAAGTTCATATTTTGTTAGGATTAAGACTGCTTGTGGAGCCACGTAACGTAAGAATAGAAAGTGTGATCTTGGTTTTAGATGTTTTTATGGCTGCAATTTTAGTTTTCATTGTTTTTTTTTACGATCTAAGAAAAATATGTTATGTTGTAAGAAAAAAAAATATTTTGTTGACGGCAAGACGGGCGGCTAGCTGAGTATTCCGCCGCATCTTGCTTGAGTAGACGAGGACTCTCTGATAGATTGGCCGATTCCATCTCAGAGCTTTCTGGAATTTTGCTCAGGAAAACGTCGAGGACCTTGCTTGTTGACATGAGAGCAAGCGCGATGTTCCACTTGCGGCGGATGTAGTAGGTCTTGTTTTGAATCTTACGTCGTTCCTTCTTTTCATTGGCGCGTCTTGCTTTAGAGCATTTATGACACTTCTTCTTCTTCTTCAGGTGCGCTTCACTGAATAGCAGATCGCGAAGACTTTCTTGCATTTTGGACAGCGCTTGTCTACAGACTTCTTCTTCGCCGCAACCTTCTTCTCGGGTCCACGAGGCATGATCGAAAGAGAACTCGATAATGGTTGAGCGCGCGGTGAATGGGATTTTTGATTGACGGAATGAGCTATGGTAAACTAATAAAAGAATGTGGATTGATTTTTTATACATGATAGAAGTCGATTGATTTCTTTTTAAGCGTTGAAGTTTTTTTTTAGATCTTTGCTTGGATATTAGTGCCATCTGCTCGGGCTTTTCTTGCTCGGGTGCTCCTTAACAATTCCCATCTGTTAGAATTATTTCGCAACTTTCGTGTAACACTCGTTGTTTATCCAGTATTTGATGTACCCATCCAGGTTGACAACCATCCATTAATCGCCACAGTTCAGCCGGCGGGAGCAACGCATCGTTAGTAAGATATCGCTGGCCGTGTTTGTAAATAGGGAACGCATTATATTTACCGATGGCCATACCTCGTGCTCTCATGACTAATGGCAATACGTCGACGCGTGGTGCACATGCATCTAACGGTCAGGCTGTTTACTGGTGCATAGCATGTTTTTGAATAGGTTTGAACTATTACTTTAACACTTGTAACCTGCTGGAAAAAAATGGCTGTACACATTCGTTTTGAGTTCTGGCGGTACTCGTAAACTAAACTAAATAGTATGCACTGCGGCTGTGAAGCAAGCGCAGGAGATACACCGGCGCCAGAGTGTACATCATGGGATCCTATATAAACTTACCATTTAAGCTATGCATGGCCCCACGAATGGAGTTGCCGAGATGAAGTGTAGCCCGCCTCGCATCGCTCAGCGAAATGTTGATTCTGTTTAGACTGAATACTACTTTTTATACAATTATTACCCCTCGCTTCGCTCATCGGTGGATACTTTAAATTTATATATTTCTTGTTTAACCTGATAATAATACCCCCCCTCAGATATAATACCTACTATGGGTTTGTATGTGTGCGTGCGTTTTTTTTTTTTAACCCTTTCGCGGTCAATGGGGGCAAAATGCCCGCTTTGAGTGGTTTTTCAAAAGAAGGTAGGAAAACTACCACCAAAAGCGAGCATTTTGCATCGTTTGAGATTTCTATACACCTACTTTTGTAACTACCAATCATATCGCTTCTCAGTTTTTGCTGAAGGGACAGCTCGGCGATTTACCCAAGGAATTATGCTTCAAGTAGCAAATTAACATCGTCCCTGTACCGAGCTGTGTCGCAGATTCGATAACTACTGGCTCCAGATTGTCGGTAAAATGTATAGTAAAATGAAGTAAATCTGATCAGTCGG